CAATTACCTCCTGTAATTGCGTAATTGCTCCTGACCCCGAGTAGCTCTTCGATGGCATGCATCCAGGAACAACTCACTCCTGGTTTCTGGATCACTCTCCCTTGTCTCCTCCCCACTGGTCCAAGGCCCAGGTGCCACCTGGTGGCTATATATATTTTGACTTAAGCACAAGTTCTTTTGTACTCTTCAAAGAAGGGTTCTATCTTTTTCTTTCCTTTTCCTTCCCTTGCCAAAATATTTTCCAAAGCACCTGCTAGAACAATTTGTGCCCTTGGCTCTTTATCAGATTTTGTAAGCAAGTTGCAAACCCTTCAGTTACAAAGTCAGTGAGATCAAAGAAGAAATAACGAAAGATACATTGTTTAAAAAAAAACCTCCAGTCTCTGACTTCCGAGTGGCAGATTCCACTTTTTCATACTTGTCTCAAGCTTATGAAAAACAAAGGTCTTTAATTGTGTTTAATGGAATTTAAAAACAAATGGTAGGAAGAATTGTTAAAATAAAAAAGAAAGTTTTAGTTCAAGCCAAAAAATAAGGTGACAAAGAATAGAGGGGGAAAAATCAATCCGTTCACTTTAAGAAAAGAAACAGGAAACATTACGGTCACTTCAATCTACAAAATATCATTACAAAGAAAAAAACAAAATCTTTCCAAGGCAGTCCAATAAAAATTAAATTCGCTCCTTTATTCTTTTATTTAAAGGACTAATTTATCTTTAAAAAAAGTTTCTTTGGGCAATCATTCTCAGAATAGGAAAAAACCCCTCACCCCATGGACTCACTTTCACTTCCTTCCTTCTGGAGCCGTCTCCGACTTCATCAGCCTAGGGCTGCCTGTTTGCCGCCAGCTTGAAATTCTTCCCTTGGGTCAATCAGGGACTTTGCGATGTCCTTGAGACCAGCAAGGCTTTGTCTTCCTGTTCACCATCTCTACGGGATGGTTTAGGTCCAACTGGACCGTCCAGTGGCAAAAGTGTCAACGGCAGTCTCGGACTGTCAAGACTGCACGTTGTATTGTCACGACATTGGATCCTCCCAATCCATTCTCAAATTGTTTTGATTTCAGATGTCTGTAATGGTTCTGAGCCCTTTCATACTTAATTCCCCCGTACAATCATGTAAACATTTAACTGAAAAATCTACGTTCCTCTTTTAGTATGTACATCGTATATTAAGAATTCAATTATCCACTATTTTAAGCCATTAGTGGATCCATACTGACTTATTATGTACAAGTGTAATTAAGTGTAATTATCAGAAAAGTGAACTGAAGCATTCCAACAAAGGTCCAATTCTGAATTTGGAAAACCATTGTCTACCATGATTTGTCATTGTTTATCTTTGCATACAGCATATGTATTTATTTTTCAGGTTCATTTTCTTTTCACAAAGATACAAAATGATACTTGTTTAGAACTGATATATCTTTCTTGGCCACATCTCCAGATCATTGGGATGGACCAAGTGACATAAGCAAATGTTGTCTGCTGTAATCACTTGTTCCTCCTTAGATCATTGGCTGCAATGTAAGACGGGTGAAGATTTATGTGAATGTCTTGAAGTCAGTGTTGACTCTGGCAACTGCCCGGACAAGAGTCTGCAATTTTCTTAGTGATATTTTGGAAGGGGTTTGCCATTGCTTGCTTCTTAAGGTTGAGAAAGGAGAATGACCCCTAATCATCTAATTGGCTTTGTGTCTAAGGCAAGGCTAGAACTCACAATCTCCTGGTTTCTGACCATATGCCTTAATCCACTATACCAACTAATACCATGTCATTTATGACTTTTATTGTTCATTGCAATGAAAAGCAGGATGCTTAAAGATGCAGACTTCAACAACAGTATGTTTGAGACCAGGGGTGTCATACTGGATTTCTTTGATGGCCAGATCAGCATTGTAGTTCTTTTCTGTGGGCCAGGCAGGGGGGGAGATGGAATGGACTCCCTGCTGGCCAAAACAGCACTCTGCTGGCTAAATTATGCACATGCACCCCTGTGCCCCATTTTGGCTGCCAGAAGCACCATAGGCTGGTCCCTTGCTATATCCAGGCTGGCCCCATGGGCCAGATTTAATCATCCCATGGGCCGGATACGGCCCGCAGGCCTTGAGTTTGACACCCTTGTATAAACTCAGCCTAATTTTCTACCATATTAAATAATTTTGAAAACCAGACCTGCTTTTCATACCCAACCCTACATTTAAGGTCGATGCTCATAATCAACTGACACTAATTAGACACCAAGCAGAAAAAAGTTTGTGGCAGAGTAGAAAGCTAAACCAAATGGTTGCTTGGGGCTAAGATATGTGAATTCACCCATTATGACTTAGGGTTCGTTACATTCGAACCAAGCCATTATATCTTGATTTAGTGCAATGTATATACCCATCACAGAAACCAACTAAGAGAGCTTTTTCCAGAAACAGTAACTAAAATCTAGACTCTAGAAACTAGAGAGGATTTTATCATTTCTTCCTTGGTGACATTAGACATTGAGCAGAAATAGGTTAGGAGAAAGTGAACCTTCTTTCTACAGTGAAAAGCTGTAGCTATAGCTGCCCATCTTACATCATAATGTGCATAAAATATTCTTATTGTGCCAATGCTTTGTTATCTTCAAAAGAGTTAAGATATATATAATATTTAACATGGTTTCCTTTTCCTCTTAAATATGCTGTTACATTGAAATCTATAAACTTTATAAAGCTGCAACAAGGGTGATGCTTTGAATTTCACTTATTGTTAGCATTAAGGAAGTATCAATAGTGAGAGTTAATGGAATTTGGTGGAAATGATTCAAGGTCTTTTAAGAATGCCAAAATACCTTTGAAAAGCTATATTTCCAAATATATACTGTGATCGGTAATTTGTTTTCTTAAGAAGTTCTAAAACCAGTCATGCTAAAATACAGTAGATAGATTGCACCTACATATATGGAATCTTCAATTAATGAATTGTCAGAGACATTGAAGCACTCAGAACAACCAATCCAAACGGCATTCTATTTTTCATTACAAAGTAAAAACCTTGGGCTGGTTTCAGACATGTTCATTCTTCCATAATAAAATGACAACAAGTATTGCTTCATATAAATGCTTATACATCATTAAAAAATAAGATTAAATGGCAAGGCAGCAGGCAACGTTTTTAAAGATTCAACAGATAAAACAGATAAAAATCCAACAGTATGCTTGAGAGTTAAATGATAGTAATAAATGAAAGTATGGTGGTTGCAGTGATATGCTGAAGTAGCTATCAGCCAAAAGCAAGTCTTTGCTTTTGAAGTAGAACATACTACAAGTTTGACATATACATGACTCTAGCAGACTTCATGCACATTGTGCAATGAGCACAAGCTTCATATTTTAAATGTTTGAGAATACTCTACTGTGATGCAATGGGTCTTAATGTTTTGGCATCTACTTCAATTGCTCTGTGAAAACAACAAAGGCAACAGCGAGTAACTAACTTGCATTTGCACACTCACGCATAAGTAATTGCTAGAGTACTTATTTAAATCAAATTTTAACAAGTAACAAAATAGTGCATTGGTAGCAATATCTGTGTGTAAAGTTTAAAAGGCAAGTGGGCCCACGGGTAACAATTTATGAGATCCACAGAACTCAAGAAGATTTGCTCCTGGGCAAGTATGGACCTAGGACGGCAGCCTGGTTCTCCCTCTTAATGCTTTGTGTAAAAATAAATTTCTTACAAAAATGAAAACCAATTTCTTTCTATTGTCTTTTATCATGTAGTAATGTATGTTCTTTAAAATGAGTGGTCTATCATTACAAGGTCAATATGAAGATCTTCACAGGAAAAGCTACCAGATCTAGATTCAAAAATGTGCACTACTACTAGAAGGCAGCAAGGATTTGTAATTGTAATTTCTTCATCAGCTGATATCTAATGATAATTTAATTGTTGCAACCAAGCTCTAGTAGGCCTATTAAAAGGGTGCTAATCACAGACATAGATGGAACAAGTTTCCCAATCGGGAAAAATTGTAAATGTACTTAAAAATATGCTTACAGTATATGATTTGGTTCAGATCTTCATCCTAAACTTGTAAAGATATAAAAAATGAACTGTGTAGTAGTATATCTTCCTGCATAAACTTTATGCAGAAAGGTCACAAAATAACTACACAAAGTTCTTAAAGTTAACAGTTTGAAAAGTACTATACTAACACTGGAGCTTTGCCAATTCAATTTTGAAAATATTAATTGCAATTGCCATTCCCCACCCCCACCCCCAAGTATCAGGTAATGTATAGTGTATGTTTGTAGGAATGCAGAAAAAAATCGCAATATATGTAGATGTTAATTCTATTGCATCAGAAACATAATTTTGATATCAAAAGCATCAAGAGAAAATAACAACGCTGTAAGAGACTAATTTATTCAAATGCATTTCCACCTCACCTCATCCCTTTTCTACTATATAAAATAAGGCAACTTGCCACAATTTAGCAAAGTTATGCTATTTTTACATCTCCTATAGACCTTTTTAGGACTTAACATGGGCCAACAAAGATCATTAGCCCCATCTGTCAAAAAAAATGTTGAATCCTACAAATCCTGTAAAGATTCCTACAGCAATGCCCCAGTTTTCTCATATTCATTGCAGAGTAGAAATTGATCCCTTGAGAAAAGATAAGTTTGAACAAACACACCACAAGTTAAATATATCTATTCAACTGTTGATTTAAAATCGGCTGTCAGGAATTTGGTCAATACTCACATTAACTGCACCATCGCAGCATATAAACTCAAGAAGAACATTGTAAAAGCAGAATGAATATTAAGGAATAGGTTCATAGTAGATCAGGGCTATTTAACTCCTGGCCCATGGGCCGGATGCGTCACACGCTGCCCAAGCCCGGTTTAGCGAAGGAGGGGGGGAAGTCCTGATATGTCACGTGATGATAACGTGACTTTGACACCTGCAGTAGATAGATCTCCAAAGCTTTCTCTTAACGTCTTAGTCAGATGCTGATGAAGCAATTAGCAAGGAAAGAAGGAGATGCTGGAAATATAGGCAGTAAAGTCAGACGTCTCCTTCTTGTTATTAAATTAAGTCATACTCTTGATATACATTTTTTGCACATGTCACCAAGCATTGTCCATTGCTACCTGGACAATTCTAAAATGCGACATATAACTGCAAATATCTATTTCGCCACCTCTACAGCAATTGATTTTTGCTACTTATTACATCAACAACCAAGCAGGTCTGACTTATGTTTGCCCACATAATCATTTGCCTGGTTGATGGCTAATTGGGAAAAATTTACAGGAACAAAAAAANCCTTTCCTCTCCTTGCTGCAGTTCAGTTGGGGGGAAAAAAAGAAAAACCCAGCTGATTTCTAAAATGCTGACTTTTGATTTGTCATTCACAACCAGTCATAGGTCACAAAGGCTGTGTTTCTCCATCCAGGGTAGCGATGCGATGCTAATTTGTAGGGAGAGATGCACAGTCCTGGGTTATAGTTTGTATTATAGAGAACCAGACGAAGAATGGGATGCAAGAAGACATAACATATTTAATAAAATCTGGCATGGAACAGGATCTGGAGTCAAAAGATGTTCTCAGTTCATTTCAATAGATGCTGTTTCTGTTCGTTTAAGAAGAAAATGATAATTGGCTCATTTAGTTAATTTCAACAAAAACATCAGATAAAGGAAAAGGAGCCCTAAGACTTTGCTGCGTCAAGATTGATCAAATTCTCACTTATGCTGAGTTATGATTTAGAAATCATGATGCTATTCTCTGTTATTTTCTCATAAATCTATCCCAAAACATTTTAAAATGTACCTGGGCCTAAAAAATAACTAGCATGTTTAGCAACTATAGTCTAGTAGCAGAGAGAAAAAAGTTACATTTGCTATGCATCTTCCTAAATCAGTAAAAAAATTAAAGAATTTTGCAGGATTAAAGTGTTACATTTTTCTTGCTTATGGATAGGAAGAGCATACATTTCTACAGAGAATTCTCTTTCTTATTAGATATGGGTATTCTTAATAAACCATAGATAGCCTAATAAATACTACAAAATGAAAGGGTTTTTTACATGGTGAAGAAATAAAATTCTTTCAGCTCCATTTTTTTAAAAATTGCAGATACATAGCAGTACATACAAAGTACTACTGAAGTCAATGCTATTTGATTATATAAAGTTTCTAAGGTAAATTTGGTTATTGATTCAAAGCTTGTTTGTATAAATATTTCCTTGTCATTCACATACTTTCACATCTTTGTCATTCACAGGTAGTCTTCAACTTGCAACCACAATTGAGCCTAAAATTTCTGTTGCTAAGTGAGACAGTTAATTGAATTTTGCCTAATTTTACGACTTTTCTTGCCACAGTTGTTAGTGCATCACTGAAGTTGTTAAGTTAGTAACACAGTTCCTCCGTGCATGAACAGGACCTTCCACACATGTGCAGAGCATTAAAAACAGGACGTGATGATGTCTGAGTGGGTGGGCGGAGCCTCCCACCGCCACTACTACCAGTTCGCCCAAACTGGATAGAACCGGCTAAATAGCACTACTTTGCAACTGTCATAAACATGAGCCAAGTTACCATGCATCTGAATTTTGATTACTTGACCATGAGGATGCTGCAATGGTCATAAAGTGTAAAGAACAATCATAAATCACTTTTTTCAGTGCTGTTATAACTTTGGTCACTAAATGAACTGTTGTAAGTCAAGGACTACCTGTATTAGGAGATGTGTCTGTTATAGTTTTAAAGCTGTTCTAGTAGAAGAAATGAAGCTGGTATTAAGTCATGGTTTATTTCTATGACTAGAAAGCCAGGATTAACAAAATTTCCAAAAATAAAAACAACCTTTCTGTTATTAGAGACAAATGGTGATATTCACTAGTCCTCAGACTTTCAGTAAGTCATGTAAAGGGAGTCAACTTTTAGCAAATGTGATGCCATGAATCTCTCCTTGGCAGATGGTCACGTGTGTTACCTTGGCCGTAATTCTCCCAGCTAGAATATTTATGCTATTTTCTTCCTTTACCCTCCTTGACTCTTGACCTTTTAGTTGTGTCATGCACATTTTTATAATTTCCAGACCTCTCAGCGAGGACATCTAATATTCAAGGCTTCACCAAGATATCTAAAATTTCTTATGTTAAAATAGGACTATTGAAAACTTAATATTTTATCCTTAGAATTTAAACTCAGTATTGTCAAGTGCAGATTTAATCCAACTTTTAAAATACAGTACTGTATATTGATTTCCTTTTTTCCCCTTCCTTTTTCTGTATTTGTGACTTGAGATAAATATGAGTCTAATAAGAGAATGTGTCATTCAAAGTACCATTCGCAAATTGTTTTTTTAAAGTTTTTTCATTGTTTTAATTGAACAAAAACACAAAAAAAAGAATCATCCTTCACTACATCTTGTAGAAAGCGTGTCGATTGGTTACAAATACATTTCGTGCGTTTCTTCCACAATCATTACTTATATTTCATTCATATTGAATTGTACATTTTAAATCAAAAATCTTTATGTATTCTACTATCGATGTACCACAATTCTCATTTAACTACAGTTATTTAAACGTACTTTTATCTGACATCATTTGTATTTAAAGACACAACCACCTACAAGATGTA